TTTTTTATAAAATAAAATAATTAATTTTAAAGTAAACAAATTAATTAAAAATAATTTTAAAAATAAAATTCAGGTATTTGGGCCACTTGAAGCTTGAAGGAATTCGGACTGAGCTTGATTATTTGAGATTTTTAGGGAGCCATGCTTGTTGGGGTTTGGTTCGAAGAGTAGGCTTGATCTGCCCAAATTTCCAGCTCTATCTCGCTGCATTCTTCTGCGCGCTTCTTTAATCCATTCATCTGCAAGAGGATTTATTGGCGTTGAATTTGACACATGTTCTGATAAAAACCAGAGCAGTTATTCTCAGTGATGCCTAGCTAGAATGATTTATAACTTGTAAAATGGATGGATGGGTGTAAGGTATACAAGACAGCATACGTATTTCTTTGTATTATTGTATACTTTTGCGCACCAAAACGCGGTGAGGACGGGCACGTGAGAATGATTGTAGTGGGTCGTTTCGGCTGATAAATGCAGAGAGCTAGCCGGGCAGGAGGGTTCATCCCGATGTGGGAAGTTTACAGTTTTAGATTGCTTTGACGTGGGTGCTGGAAGTCTGGGATGCTCTATGAAGGAAGCTGCGAAACTCTTCTCCTACAACATTGAAACTGCTCGTGTGGTGAAAGCACGGGATGAAGCCATTGAGACTGCCCTTTTCCAAGCAGGTTCAAAGGGAATGTCACAAAAGAGTCTTCAGACTTGCTGGGAGACGTGGGAAGAAGGCAGCAAAGATGGCGTCCCGTGAAGCAAAGCGCGTTATAGGTACCATCATGTCTTCAGGATGGGAGTTTTTTGAAGCCATGTACTATGGTGCTACCATGGCAGAAGCGTTCCTCAGAAGCATAGGAACGTTGTTTGGTACTTATACTGGAGCTTTCTTTGGGCAGCGGAGTCTTGCGAGACTTTGGTTATCTTGTGGGAAGTCAAATAGGACGTTGGGTTGGAGGTAGAATTGGACTCATGGTATATGATGCGGTCAATGCAGTGCATTTCCTGTCCTTGAAATTCTAGCTCCAATGCCCATTTCTCCTACCTATCAGAGCCACCAATACAACTTGTTCAGCTCATCATTTCGCCCCAGATTTTTTTATCTGATATTAGATGAACATGGCTTTGATATGTGGGGATAACGCCCAAGTTTTGTAACAAATGTACACGTTTTAATTAATATTTCATTCGCAATTTTACTTTTTAATGTTGCAGATGTTTCCCTAGGAAAGGGTCCGTAGAGATTTGTGTGTACCTCCATTTGGTCTTATATCTCAGGGTTCTAAGTCAACCAATTAGATAGCATTTCCAACAGATGAGGTGATTGTAACAGATAGTGAAATGCTTGAGATGGACTTGCTAAGCAATCTCATTTTAACCTCGGGGAGCCAGGCATGCGTGGGATATGGTAGAGACAGAGAAAAAGCAGTATAGAATATGTGTATGAATAAGCCCTCCAAAATAGGCGCTCTTATAGAGGTTTTTTGTAGTAGTGAATAGATAGCATGACAGCAAGTATAGATGAGGACGACAAGGAATCCTATTAAATTCAGAAATATATCACCTGTTTGAGCGTTCCTGCCATGTGTAGCTACATGTTAGAAGAATGAGCAGAGAAGAGGAGGGCATCAATCTCGCAGGAACAGGTATGGTTATCAGGAATGGTCAAAGGAGTGAGACTTAGCTTCATTGATGGCCAACCAACATGGATGCCATTATCCATGGGCCATCATGATGGCTATAGCTCTTTCCTGACAAGAGTATTCTAATACTTGTGATGCTTTAATGGTGTAGCAATGCGGAGCATTAGGGAATAATTGGAGATGGTGCGACCGAAAGGGTAGGAGGAGCACAGGATGAGTGCATATTGGCAACACACTGCATTTTCCCAAAGTGGACTCAACAGGCTGCAACACTGTTGTTGCTTTCAGCGTCGAGTAGTCGCATTTTGGAGGGGTGAAAGTGGCCAAATTGACTAATAAACAAATATGCAATCGCTGCCCTGCCCCTACAAGAAGTAGCTTTTGCTTTTCATCCACTAATCAAGTAATAATTGGCGCCCACTGCTAATCTCTCTCTTTTCCAACCATACTTCTGTGCCTGCGTCATCGCAAATGCCTCCTTTAGTGCACCTTTATATCATCCAATTCTAATGGAAACCAGTCTTCATTATGTCACTTCTCGCCAATCCGGTTATTAGTGCTTTATGTGTGTGTATATATATATATATATATTGATGCGACCAATTAATTTTCTCTTTTTTGGTCAACTAAATCTTCTTTTGACTCTACTAAAGTTACTTCAAATTTTTCGAATATTTGAGGAATGAATTTCCTCAATACTTTCTCTCCATGCTTATCTTGTAAAGATAGATGATTTATTCAGTCACCACCCATAAACAAGATTTACGATGCTGTTTTTTGAGAGAATTCAAGTGACAAATATAATTTAGTCACCCCCCATAAATAGAATTCATGAGTTGAACTCAAGTGTGTATATCTCTGATACTCTGATTTATATAAAATTTTAATTTAGTTCATTGATTTTATAAAATATTTTTTTAGTTTTTCTACCCATATTATCATTGATTTCAAATACTCTTTCCATGCTAGTGATTATTATTTTGAAAAATTAATTTGTTTATATTTAAAAGTTTAATGTATGAATTTTTTTTGTTAATGAAAGTGTCAAAGTTAAAAGATTGAATGACTAAGATGCGTCTATAATTAAGTTAGCGTTGGATGATTTAACTTGCGTTCTGAAATCGGTGAAATAAAAAATAGCATAATTTGTTGGACATGGATTTTGCTAGGGGGGGAATATATATGAGAACGAGAAAAAATAGATGAAAAAGAGGAAAACCTAGAACCGTACAAGGCGTCAAATGGTCATAACTTTCGGAAAAATAATTAAAGGAGATGGCATGGAGTCATCTGCACCATCGAAGTTGAAGGAATCAAAGTAAAGGATAACAAATGTTTTTTTAATACAGGAAAGGGTTGAAGTGGAACAAGAGGGGCAACTTGTTCAATGTCAACACGATGAGGATCCACATATCCTTTCATCGTTACCCATACACTGTATTTCCCACCTTTTCTAAAGACAAATTCTGTACCAGCGGCCTCTCATAGATTTTGTCACAACAAACAAAATAATACACCCACCAATTTACAAGGATATCCGAGTTTTTCACGTAATAATCTTTTCTATATTTGAATTTTTTGAAAAGTTTCCTTTTTTTCCTTATTTTCCTTCACTGTTATTTTTTATATAAAATAAAAAATCTTCTTTGACCTACTTTTTAAAAAATTACAAAATTGGCGAATTCCTAACTTAAAAAAAAATCAATTCATTGTATTATATGTCTGGAGTCTTTTTTTTGGTCTTGAGATGAAATTTTTCTTTGCACTTGCAGAGGTGATCAGTGTAATAGATTTTGCGATGCGATAATATTTAAAATAAATTGAGGAGAGAGGGGAAAGAGAATTAATTTCAGGAAAGAAACAAAAGGGAGAGCGATCCAGTTGGGAAGTAGTATGCGGCCACTGGAAAAAGAAAAAGAAAAGGTAGTAGTATGCGGCCGAAGATGAAGGGAATCCGAGAATTCAAACGCATTCTGCAGAACAACGAACTTTGTCTCCTATCATTATAGTGGACTGCTCCATCAAGGCCAGACGCACCGAATCTTGTTCAGTAATAATCCCAATCAACAATATTATTAATGAGTTATTAGTAAATCATGTATCTACGATGTGTGAGAGAAAATTCCTCGATCGAGAGCGTTCATTAAATTATGTTTATCGGGTAAAAGCGGGGAATAGAAAGGATGTATTTGGATGCACTGGGTTTTCGTTTTCATTTAAAACCGGCAATGTATAGTCTATCCCGTGTGAACTGAATCGATGCTGATAGTAGCTTACACAGCACTCAACAAACATGTTCCATTTATTTATCACTTCACAAATTGGACTCTGACATATATTCTGATATTCACAATACAACTACGTACCTTAACGGCGAGTAGCTGTAGATGAAAACAAAAAAGAACAAAAACTAATTATATATTGTCAATTCTTTGGTACATTCAAATACAATTGAAACTTCTCACGATAAATTACAATACAGTGAAGATACTTTTATTTTTTTAACGGTCTCATGTTGGACCATGAGCTTCATGAATGACAAAGATGTACTGTTCTCCCCCGTTGGAGCGTTGATGTGATCCCTTTTCGTCAGAACGCCCATGTTTTGTTGCTGAAATAAATAATGAAACAACAAGAGGTCGGGTGATCATTGTCCAATTGATAGCAAAATCTAATTATTTGTTGTAATTCAAGGTTTTACTGGGAAGCATCAAGGCCCGATCGAGGAAGAGAGAGAGGGGAGGAGAAATTAATGCAAGAGCATCTAGTAAATCACATTGCATCCACCGCCAATAACTTTGATATTGACTCTGAGATTCTCCATCACACTTCTTACCTGAAATGTTACCACACTTTTGACCCCGAAAGCCCCTTGCGATGTGGACGTTCATTCTCCCACTTTCCTTCATGCCCTTTTCTCAACCTTTACTGGTCCTTGGATTTCTTTCACCTAATTAAAGAGACACACATATATTCCCTTCCTCATATTTATTACTTATTATACGCATACATGTGCAATCCATGAGCATGGGATCTCTGGGGAATTCATCACGATGCATCCCAAAACCCTAATTCCATTACATGCCAATACCAGCACATATTTATCGAATAAAAATGAATTAGTTGTTATCAATGACACAGCCAGAACATTGTTGTCTGTGGTTTTATATATATATATATATATATTTTTTTTTTTTTTTTGGCACGGGGAAAGGCGATAATATTTTAGATTCTAATCCATGTATGGCGGAACAAAATGAACAGCACACGCCTTCACCCAATAGCAATAAGCCAATGATCGTAAAGTGTCGGGGGCCCGCGTGGGGCCCGGCAATGGGCATAAATACAGATCCCGCCCTCCCCAGGGGTTCAGCGTCTCCTTAACATAGTGTTCCGTTCAAAGAGCATTTTCTCTTTAGGGACACAGGGTCTGTCAAAAAAGACAGAGCAGCCTCCTCATAGTGTCGACATGGTGAGCCAGGAAGATTTGTTGATTGGAAAGATCTGCGACCTCTACGACGAGATCTCCAGCCTCAATAGTCTCAAACCCTGCGAGAATGTCGACACCCTTTTTACCCAACTCGTCCTCACATGCATACCACCCAGCCCTATTGATGTCACCAAGCTCCCCAAAAGCCTTCAAGAGATTCGATCCAAACTCATTCGACTCTGTGGCCAGGCCGAAGGCCTTCTCGAGAGCCACTACTCCACCATCCTCGGCTCCTTCGACAACCCTCTCCGCCACCTCCACATCTTCCCTTACTACTCCAACTACCTCAAGCTCGGCCTCCTTGAGTTCACCATCCTCACCCAGCACTGCACTCGCGTCCCTTCCACCATAGCCTTCGTCGGCTCGGGTCCTCTCCCTTTCACTTCCATCGTCCTGGCCTCCAATCACCTCCCCACCACCACCTTCCACAACTATGACATCGACCCACAGGCCAATTCCATGGCCCTCCGCTTGTTTTCTTCTGATAATGATTTGTCCAAGCGCATGGTCTTTCACACCAGCGATATCTTGGACGTGACCAAGGACTTGGAAGAGTATGATATTGTTTATTTGGCGGCTCTCGTGGGGATGGACAAGGCGGAGAAGAATCGGATCATCGATCATCTGGCCGAGTACATGGCTCCGGGAGCGCTTCTGATGCTGAGGAGCGCCCATGGGGCTCGTGCTTTCCTGTACCCTGTGGTTGAGCCCGGCGATCTTCGAGGCTTCGAGGTGCTCTCCGTGTTTCATCCGACGGATGAGGTTATCAATTCCGTGGTCATAGCACGGAAGTATCCCCTGCCTCTACACGGCTCGCATGATCAGCAAAGTCTTCCGAACATGATATTACCCAACAAGTGTTCTGAAATACAGGTCTTTAATCCCCTCATCAACCATGGCAATATGATTGAGGAGTTGACCGTTGAGGAACAGCTATCGTGACTCTACGTCTCTCTCTCTCTCTCTCACTGCCTTCATTTCTCTGGCTATATGTCATTGGAGTCTCTCTACATGGAATTATTGGGTCATGTGGTGGCTAGCCAGAAGCTTAGTTTAATTTTCCTGCAACATATGATATCTGTATCATCTGGTAATGATAATTTTCGCGATGCTGTTCTAAAATTTTCAAGAAATAAAAAGGGGGCTTATATGTGTTTTCCTGATGAGCCACACTCTTAAAGGGTTTCTTCTTTCAATTTAATTCCTTGTTATCAGGATGTTGTCATTGGTGCAAGCTTCAAGTTGATCATCACATCCCTTTGAGATACTAGCATCACCGTAACCTGATGAAGGAAGTGGTAAAAAATTATCTTCTTGTTTTCACTGTAATGGTTCATCAAATCATCAGTGTCGTGCCTGGAATAAAATGCAAGTCGACTTGTCTAATACGAAGTTATTTATATTTTTAGGGTTATGCGATGCAATTTCTAATTAGATTAAATGTGTAATTGTTCGATAAAATCATAAAAAGCATCCTAGTTTTACAGACAATTGTATGAATATTCTTTGATTAAATTATACGCGCGCATATTATACTATTTATTAAATTTCATGCAAATAAGAAAGAAAGAAGGGAGATTGGATTTTTGCTGGGTTTTATTATCATGTGTATGTGGGCGTGACTTTTAATCGGTTCAGTTTAGGACAGCGAGATTTAGTAGATTCTGTTAGCCTTGCTCCCTGTATTAACGTGGTCCCTGCGCAGTAACTATTTTTATTTTCTTCGTTCATTTTTTTTTTTGTTGGCTGACGATATTGCAAAAGTAACTGCTTGGTCTAGCAGAACATATAATCCTCAAGTACACATGTGCTCAGTTCAAAGAGGGATCCTTGTAATTATGTGCCCCAACAACTTATGAATGTCTCGGTTTGAGCTTTTAATCAGAGCCAAATGTACTTTCTGACTTCTGTGGTGCATGTGCTTGCAAAATGACATTCTTTTCCTTGGTGATGTCTCCCCACAGTTTAACTAGCTTGATTTGAGGGGAAAACGTAACCGAAAACCTAATAGGTGTTAAGGCTTGCTAAGTTAGTTTAATTTGAATGCAAATACATGTGGTATTTGTTGGTCCTTGGTTAATAGATGCACGGAAGAGGCGTTTAATTCATCAAAAAGCTGGTGACTTGTGAACATTGAAACTAGCCATGAATGAAATTATTTTCCAGTACGATCTACTTACAAGGCTGTGTCGCTTTAAGAAAAATCCTTTTTCCAGCAAGATATCATCTATTTATGATTTGATTCAGAAAACTGATTTTTATATAAGCTGCAACAGTACAAGAATTGAGGTGGGCATTGAGTTGAAAATTCAGCCAAAAAATTACAGAGACATATGGTCATTATCATATGTGCAGAAACGGGTTGCATTGTTGCAAGCTTCCTTGCTCCAATGCCTTCACTTGTCATCTAGGAAAAAGTATAGAGTCTAAGGGAAAAACAAGCCATGTGAGGCCATTGACATGATAGTGCAGAAGAAACTCGGCGTTGAATCGTTCTTTCAAACTCAGGGCATCAAGTGGATGGAACTTTAATTACGAAGTCATCGAAGGAAGTGACATTAGGGACAAATCCTTGTTACATTGTTTGAGTGTTACTGATCCAGCTAGCTAGTAAGATGACAATATCTTTGTCTAGATCAATTGGAGACCCTCGATATTCAAAATCTATAAGCAGGTTCTATACGAAATCTCACATCATTACGTGCATGCCACAGCATGCGCTTGTGGGGATTATAAATTTAGTAAGCTACGTAACCTTTTGTTTTCTATGTAATGTCCATAATCGTCAGGGTACCCAAAAAAAAGAAGAAGAAGAAGAAGAAACCTAGCCGGAGTTGCCTTGTTATCTAGTTTATAGACCTCGATCGAAAACTAATAATTGACAGGATCCAAAGCGAAAATATGCTAATATATGTCGTAAATTTGAAATTACGAAGCAAATATGTGTGTGTGTGTGTGTGTGTGTGTGTGTGTGTGTGTGCGTGCGTGCGTACGTGTGTTGGGGGGCTGACATATATACGAGAAATCCGATACTTGTTTTGTTTTTTTTTTTTTTTTATAATAAACCCGATACTTTCTTGTTGCGAGCCTACTAGGGCGCCCGGGGTTCTCTTCGACTTTGAAGCCTCAAAGGAAAGGGCCGACCAACAGCGTTTTTCATTTCATTTTGCAAGCCAGAAGCACGAAGCATTTTTCGACTAGGTGATTTTTCAGCTTTCGCAGTAGCGTGATTTAAGTTTAAATCTAACTACGCATATGAAATGAATTACATTTTTTTATAATTTATAAATATAATGTCTCTATATAAATTTTATATAAATGTATGTTGACTGATGCATCGTGCATGTTGAAATCAGCTTTGTTGTCTGTGGGCATGCTGCATTCCATGCCTAATTGATGCTTCCCTTCTCCAATATGAACAACATTTATAAGAAATATTTAATTAATATCAAAGATAAAAAAGCTTAACAAGACACTATTCTATATCTTATAAAGTACAATAAATAACGCCGCGGAGTCTTCAAACTCCGCGTTTCGTCCATGCGTAGAACTATATATACTTTTGTTTTTGTACCAGCTCTGTATACGTTTATTTAAATTTTACCTTGCCTCCGCAATCTCTGAAAAATGATAGAGTGACATTATTATTTTAAACAAATAATTTTTAAAACGAAAGAAATAATGCTTCACCGTAGACACAATAGCCAGTGGCATGACACTATAGATTAAGAAGGCGCACTGAAATGAGGATTGAGGAAGACGGGAGTTCGACACTCCATGATTTGGAAGCGATGGTGTTCCACACGGAAGTTGCTGTCCTGTGGACACGCATCAAGTTATTCGACAAAACTGTACTGCGTTTCCTTTCATTATTGCGCCATCACTCGAACCCATCACAATCAATTCACTTCAAAATTATACACCCCAAAAAAATACATTTTCGAGGGATAACAACTTCACAATTTCCTGAAGCCTGCACCCTTTTTTCTAAAATCTCAATTTTATTGGAATACAAGGGAACATGATGATGATAATTATACGAAACTCAATAAAAAGGATAAAAATAGATTGAAATAAAAAAAGTAGTACACGAGAAAAAAAGTCGTGCTCTTGTAAATAATATAAGTCCCTATAAATTTCTTGGCAGGTGAAAAAACTCCCCATAAATACTGTATTTTACATTCTCATCAATCACGTTCCTCCTGCCAAGCTCCAAGCTTTATATATATATAGAAAAGAAATTGATTGAAGAAGGCCGAGCGGCACTCGTTTACCTCTTAGCCTGGCCCAAAACATGGGAATTGCCCGTATGGAATTTTTTCGATGTTGTAAATTCTTTACAAATTGAGACCATACCATATCGTAATTTTCTTTTATCCAGTTTCCGGTCTGAATTTGTTAAGAATATGCAGACATGATTAATAATTTCATTTCTCCAATAGACTTGGAGTTTAGTGCTCAAATACGGAGAATCCTTAACTGAAAAACAACCATTTGAAATACATAAAAACATTGAATTAATGGAATTTTAATACCAAGAATAATATAGTTAAATAAAAAGGCATATTGAATTTAGAAGCGTGGAACCGTGACCATGAATGAGATCTCGAAGCTGTGTTAAAAAACTCGAGCCCGGCCCAAAGCCTCTTAACAAAGTTTTTGTTGGAGGATTATCTTTCGGATTTACCATTTCTTCAAAGCTTGGGTTAATTAGAAAATCAAGTCCAAAAGATAATTAATGACCATTGTGAATGTGAATAGGTGCAGACGTGCAGTGCAGCTTGGTCGAGTAGAGAAGGGTAGGGACGAAGTACAGTAGACACCAACGAAATTCCTGCACCAGCTAAACGAAGCAGCAGCAGCCGACCGGTCACAAATTGAGATGAGACGAAACCTCGTTGCTATTTCCACTTGCACGGAGCAGAAAATCTTCTCCCCGATCCACCCACTTACAAATATCATCTTCCTCTATCCAAAGCAAATATACTACGCGCGACGTTTAACATGCTTTCCATTTTCCAGCTCTCATACAGGCTCTAAATGCAAACAAAATCCATCGCAGACGTTCAATCCTGGCACATATAAACTTAATTGACGAGATCGCAGCACGTCGATCACAGAGAACAATCAAGTACAGAGAGTATAGCAAGTATAGAACTGTTTCAGCGTCGATGATTAGGCGGGTCGTTCCCGGTGGAATTCCAGGAATCCCATATATGATACACAAACACGCTGCTCCCACACACACACACGTATCTATGTATATATATAAACAAGCAAATATTTGAGAGGTAGCTCATACATTTGTGTGGAGGTCCCAAAGATTGATCTCCTGGAACACACGTGCGCGTGTGTGCAAGATGTGAGAGAAGAAAGGAATATCAATGAGGCGGAGGCGGAGGAGCAGAATAGCAGAAAGGGGGTCCAAAGGCAGCCCCACTTACACCCTCCAACACGGCAATTCGCATATCATCAGATGGCTTCCAGTGCCGTTTCCTCTGATTGATAAACCAGTTATTGATCTGCTTTTGACTCAGTCCACTCATTTCCGATAGCCTCACTTTCTCCTCCTCCTGCATGTCTCACCATTTTCAGATTTTATTACCCTTGCATTCACAAATAAATACCCACTTGGCTTACAGCCAGCACATCATAATTAATTTCTAGTGTCACTACTATTCTCTATCCTCGCAGGTCCTAAATTCAAAATCACAATCAGCTGTATACGGTGCAAGCTAGCTTCTATCATATGGCGCTTGCTAGCTTCTTTTCATACAACCACCAAATGAAACTATACAAGGACAAATGTTCAAGTGCTTACCAAATTTGCATTGGTAAAGCCAAAACTCAGCCGGGAGACTATAATGCCAAGGTAAAAAACATCAGCATCCACCATAGTTTATTGTATAACGTGGAGAAAACAAGAAAACGCTAATCCAACATCACTTTGGAATGAAATGAGTGTTGATGAACATTAGAGAATGTAACACCCGCTATGTTAGATAATGAATAAGTAATGGACTTAATTAATTATATTACCGTGGGATAAGGCCATCTGTAATGGGTGTTCCACCAATTGAGTAGCGTCATCCTTGCATCTTTTGGAAGCTTGCCGCTTTTCCTTTTCTTTAAGAACTCCTTCCGCAGATTGCTAAGATAGCCACTGTACTTACGAAGAAGCATTTCTTTGATCTCTTTATCAGCTTGGCAACTGCCACAAGATCCGTCACCTTCAACAGCTTCAACCTCACCACAACCCAGTTCCTCTTCTGAAGTCACACCTGCCTCCTCTGCGCATTAATGCAACCCCAAGTTTATCAAGATTTCTAATTCCAAAAATAAAAAATAAGGATATTAAAGCCTACTATATTTGACAATAAAAGCAATTTGCTCCATTTCTCCCAGTTAATTTACCATCTATTTCTTTTTAGTTACCAGGGCCTATAATGAATGGCTAATAAATTTTAATAGGAAGTTGTGTGAACGACAATTTGGCGCCCCCAATTTAAGTCATGGCATTCGATAAAAAATGGTCCCCAGCCCAGCACTTGCCTATTTGGTACTTCCCAATCCGTTCTTTTCTTTCGTAAGCTAAGAACGAACTTGCCCCTTTTAGTTGTGAAAGAGAAAGAGGATCAGTAGAAAGGCTCATACTTAAAAAGGAAATGTGTTGATGACCTCTCCATTTTGTCAGACTATAAACCCAATTACAAGATGTGGAACATCGAAACTTTATCTATATATTTCAATTAAATATCATCAATGACATGCCAATTAAAGACATTAACAACATCCAGCCAGAGCCGAAAGTTAATTTTTCTATGCAATTCACTTCGGTCAGGAAAACAATAAACTTCTCAAATACACTAGCACACCTGAAAATAGGGTTTAACGCAAGTAGCAGGGTCTGTGAGGTGCCTAAATGTAATGAAAAACCATCTATCTGAAATTCATGCATGTCATAGGTTTATTGAAACGCTAAGCTTATCGATGGGTGAACATCGAGGGATGTTCAGAAAGTGATCAGAAGCTCATTTCTCCCGTCAAATTTACTTGGTATTTAACTCTCACCAATCATCCTACATAAAATAAAACCTAAGTAATCACAACGAAAACCAGAGACAACCTAGTTAAACTGTACTGAACTAGTAGGGCAAGCCAATTCCAATCCAGACTTTCTGAATTAGATACTAATTTTCATCAGTTGTCCATCGAGAAAGATATCATATCCATGTACTTCGCCGAAGTAAAAGTGGGGAAAACACTTGCACAGTTCATGTTTATAAGAAGAAATTAGAACCACGCATGGCAAACGAATGGACCCAAGTTTTACCCGAATTTAATACCCCACTCGTGGCACGGGCCTCGCCGTAACGATTCTAATTAATGTTCAAATGATCTAAGGTTGTCTGCGTATTTTATCGAACATAGGGCCACTCAAGCTCAGTAAAAGAAATATGAAAGAAAGAAAAGGATTATCCGATTAATTTCGATTAACGCTCCAGGGTCTCTTCTACATGATTATCGACATACGTGTCAAAAAATACACAGCAACGCGTTCTTCGAGAGAATAGCTCGCGGTATAAATACCGAATTGGGCATAGAAACAAAACACGAAAAAGGGTTTGTCAACGCAAGTATATACCGGATCGACATCCCGTTGAATTTGTCAATGTTCCCTTGCAAAGGTTGCGGAGCTGGGACTCGATATTGCTCAAAAACAAGGTCGCTTCGTTGAAGGGCCTGGACAACTCGTCTTTGTATCTACCAAGAACTTCGCAGTAGGATTCCTTGCAGCATCAACAATTCAAATTTCCATTCAGAAACAATATACACGCACAGTTAAAACGAAAGGGATGCATGTATCGATTTGAATTCCGGAAAACTAAACAAACTCGAGAGCTTTATTTTTATCTCTAGGGACCCCCTCCAACTTATTGGGAAAAAACAAAACTGAGAATCGAAGAAATCAAATGCCCTAAGTGGATTTGAATACCATGAAATCGTCAAGTTGAGGATCGTCCCCTATCTGACGCTGAGCACTGCTGGGGTGATTTTCACGGTTCATTTCTTCCAGGAGGGACGCCAGTTCTGGTGGAGCTCCGACCTTTAAGTACATTAAGCCGTCGCTAAATTAGTGATTGTAAATCAAACACTGATCACGGCAAGCATAATTTCGTTCTTATCGTTTTCCACATAAAGAAAGTAATTCAAGAATATTTAGAAACAGTAGGGAAGACCTTTTGGCATTCAATGTAAGCAGATAATAAATTAGGATAAAGAGGATGACTGGCAATTTGGGTCTTGATGAACTGATCCGGCACGTCAGACACGGTTCTTTCCGAATCATCAGGCACTTCCTGCCGTACGTGCGTATTGGCTACCGGACCACGATGCAACTGATCTGAAGACGAAGAGACGTCACCAACTCTGACATCTCCAGAACGGGGAGATTCCTTGGTGTTTAACCTGTAGGCATGGTCCATGATGACTACCCGAGCAACTGTTGTGGTCGTCTGGATTGAAATCCCGCAAGCAATAAGCAAGCATCGAGGTGCAGGAGGCACGGAAGATAAGGAGAGAGATAGGAAAGGGAAAGCTTTAGCTCAAACAAAATGACGAAAGACCCATTTACTTGAAGTCGAAGAATCGTGGAGCTACCAGTGAAAGAGCTGAAGTCGACAACGTTATACTGAATACTCTATACGGACGGAAAGATTGACGGAGAGGAGAGGGTGGGGAAGGGAGAGGAACAGGAAGACGGCACCTGGGAAAAGGCCAAAGGTGGGAAAATTTCTTTTCCGAGCAAAAGGAGAGTGTGGGGAATGAAAAGCAAAGGACGGAAGCAGTGGAAGGATTGACAAGGTTGCGGAGGTGAGCTCTTGAAGGTTAATGCTGTTACCTGTAGTGTATTGGCCGTATTTAAAGAGAGTCCAGTCTTGGTTTTCACTTTGACGTCAAACACTGTGCTTCAAATCCTATCCTTCTCCCTTTTTCATTGGTTCCCCCGCTTCTGTGTGGGTCCCCTCTCCACGCCTTCTATCTCCAGGTATCTTCTCGTCTCCCACCTCTTCGAACTTAACCATCCTTTCCCCAACAATGACTTTATTCCTATTTTTATATTCGCCGGTGATGGAATGTGGGGATGATCTCATCAAAGGACTACCCACCCATATAATTTATTTGTAAGCTGGGCTCTAACAATTCTAATAACTCACTGCATGATTTTTTTAGAGTGAAGTGAAATTTAATATTATGGCCAAAAGATCATTTTATTGCGTTACTCGTTAATTATATTTAGTAACTTTACAAGACACACGTGGCCTTTATCATTTAGTTTTACTCTCTGTCACTTTATCATTTAGTTTTAGTCTCTGTCACTCCTACTAGCGGCTATTAGAGCCTAATTTACTCCCCCCCCCCCCTCTTAAGCTTTGCTTTGCCATCTTGTGTGGTAAAAAAATATAAGTGCTTATTCCATGACTTTACTTGTCAGTTATTTCATATTACTTGTCAAGTTATGTGCTATATCAATTAAATTACTCCTTTTAAATCAAAATATAAGATGATGGTAACTAATTTATAATTCTTAAAAGATGTTAGTTAAAATTTAATTTAAAAAAATTATATCTTTTAAATTTTTTTATTAAATATCTTATGTAAGTGCTTTGATATTGATAATTAAAATTTTAATCAAATATTTTTTTAAAAAAATAGTCATAAATTAAGTGGAAGTATAACTGAAAAAAATTATAAAAACTATTTAATATCTTATATTTTAAACCAAGCATATTTTTTAAAAGAGAAAGGTATTATAGTGTTGAACAAGTAATGTTATTTATTAATTCTTATCGTTGTTTGTTCAACATCAAACTTATAATAAATTCATTATCCAAATTTTTTATTAATAATTTTTGACTTATGGTTGCATAAAGATCGGGCTAGACCGAATTAAGCATTAGCCTAAAGTCTAATTTGAAAGCACTCTGGGTTAGATTTTTTAGTCTGAAATTTGGTCTAAGTTGATTGGACCTGAGACTAAGACCGGACTAGAGTTACTACTCCTCCCAACCTCCAAGTCTTTGCTAGCTCCCGCTTCCTCCTTGCTTCACAACATATCACCACTGACATTGCCACTCCATCCTTCTTCATTCTGCCTCCTTTTCACTCCTTTCAATAATCAGATCAACAGGACCTATAACTCATTAAAAAAAAACAAGACCCTCTTGTCCATAAATCAAATCAGAACTATAAATTAAAAGAAAAATAAAATAATGAGAAACTCAATGGAGAGAGATAAAAAAAAAAACAATCAAATTCACCTTGTAAATAAAGATAAATGTTTTGAGAAAGATGCAAATTTCAGGAGTGGAGAGCAGAGCCAAAGACATAGCCCTAAAATAATGCTAATCACTACTGGAAAATAGGTGATTTGCGACATATTAAAAAGTGTCCTAAAAATGTCACACATCTGTCCTAAAATCCATCCCAAATTTTTGTGACAGAATTTTCCATCCCAAAGATTTGCGACGGATTATTTTGTCCCGAAATTTAGTCTCGGATGTTGGAATGGAATTTACTGTCGCAAATATTTGGGACTAATAATTCCATCTCAAACTATTGGGACAAATTTTTTTGCCACAAATTTTTGCGTCCCAATTGTGTGACAAAGGCATCACAAAATATCTAATTACAAATTTTATCATAATTGCAATATATATAAAATTAAATTTTATAAAATTTATTAATTTTAATGCATATATTAAATTTTAATTATTATTAGAAATAAAATAGAATAATACTTTTGTGTTGAATTATACAATTAAAAATTAATTATTATAATTAAAAAATATTATATGTTTATAATATTATATAGATAATACTCCTTTCATCCCAAATTATAGGGCACCAATAAAGGAGTTTTTTCATCACAAAATATAAGATACTTTAAATAAATTAAAGTTTTATTAAATGCATCAATTTCAATATTATTATTTTTCTCTCTTTAATTAATTTTCGTCCCTTTTATTTTTTATATTAAATAATAAATATTTTTAAAAATTTATATTTTTATTTTAAAAAGATAAAATTATTAAATATATTTGATAAGGTCTATTGATATAAAAATAGTTATGATTAATATTGTGCGTGATATATTTTGTAACTATTTTATAGGATATTCACGGATTTCTATTTTAAAAAATAATTTATTTTTATTTTTTTTAAATTTATGACATTCTTACATATCTTCACATAATATCAAATTATTTTTAAAAACTATTCAAAGTAGTTCCTCAAAATAATTAGAAATATATATTTTTTAGATTCTAATTATTTTTATTTCAACTAATTAAGTACAAAATATTTTTTCACTATCTTTTTAATTATATTTCAGTCAATATAGGTAAAACAATTTATGTATTAGTAATAACACCTTTTATTCTCTTTTTAATTCTTAATCCATAATTTGTAAAGGAAGTAGATAGTTTTTTTTTGTTATAATATTATAAAAAAATTAGTATTTAGCATATAATTAATTGAACTATAAAAAATACTTTTTTGGTCTTATTTATAAAATAAAGAGAAAAGATTGTTGTGTCCATGTTTATTTTAAATGGAGATTAAATAGAAATATATAAATTATTTCCCATTTAAAGAGTCATGATTATATAAGTATAAAAGAAACTGTGTTTGAGTGTGATACACTAGGAGAGTTTAATTTTTAAGATATTAAGAGGATCATAGAAAAAAATTATTACACTATAATATATATAGGTGAATAAATTTTTTAAAGATTATGAAACAAAGGAAAATAGAAAGAATATTGAAAAATAGAATGGCCAGTCTTGTAGGCCTTTAGCCCACCTACTAAATTGATACCCCAAGCCAAAATCAATTGTCATTCCCATTTGAAAATCAACTCCTTTCCCTCCTCTTATAGTTAAAGTCAAGAATAGAGATCGGGCTTAATGGACTAACAAATTAAGTTAATGTTTATAAGAATTTTGACTTGAAAAAATGTCATTTTTAAAAAAAATCAAGCTTTGAAACCCAACCCTAATAGGTTTTAAAAAAACAAGCTCAAACTCAAACAACCATTTCAGGCTCTTTTTCATTTTAACTTTTTTTAAAAAATAGTTTTATTTTTTAAATTATTTAAACTTTGAAATATATGTTTATGCTTCAATATTTGATTTATTATTTATTTTTTAAATTTTTTAATATTATCATTTATATTTTAAAAATATATGAAATGTTATAATTGAGAATTTTTAATTTAAAAAAACAAAAAAATAAAAAAATAAAAATAAATGGCTCATGGGCCCAGCCCTAAGTCATTTGAATAAGGGCCGACTTTAGAAATTAAATATTTTTTAAAAAATCAAGCTTAAGGGCTTAACCCTTATGGGCTCAATTAAGCTCACCCACTTCCCACCTCTACTTCTAATACACTGAATAAAGTATGAGAGGGTAAAGGAAAATCGAGCGAGAGAGTAAGAGAGCTATTGATGGAGGCTTCATTATAAGATATTTTAACAATGATTTTAAGCATTCTAAGACTGGGTGAGTATCATAAACATTTTTAAAAATACATTTTTTCTTTATTTTTTTGATTTCTTAATTAGGGAAAATCTAGGGTTTGATGGGTTTCAAATCTTTGGGTGTTTTTATCAACTATTTAGATTTTAATAAAACTAATAACTCTAGAATAAGAGTTTGTATGGTTAAGATTTAGCCAAATAGTTGATTTGAAAAATTAAGATTAGATTTTAGTTGAGAAAATTATGTTTTATGATTTTAGTGGTAGTTTATTTTAAAAGATAATCCAGCTAATCCTATGGAGGACGCGGAGCTTGCAATGGTTACTGCTCAAAGAGTATTGGTTAGGAACGAGAATATAAATTGGGCAATAACTTCTAAATTTGTTTGTGCTCTGCTAGGGTTGGGGGTATTTATGTTCCTTCAATATTTTATTTTTTATTCACATAATTATAAATGCCTTATTAGCCCATCCTATACTTTGACTTGCAAATAATAGAAAGGTTGAACTAGCAAAATTGGAAGCAATTAATTGCAGAAAACCATTGAATGAAGCATTGTGGGACATGGTAACTTTTGATTAATGTAAATCAATAATTCTTAACTATGTATATTTACTTGTGTAAACATATGATTTTACCAAGAATGATGTTGCCGGTTGCTTTGAGTACTATGTTGACCTTGTTGAAGGATTGGGTGCATATATCATTATTGGAAAATGAAATTTAACGAAGGACGAATCCTTTGCTAAATGTCATTTTTCCTCACTAAATTTCGCTTTAACAATAGATTTTGTTCATCATTAAATTTATAATTAAAAATGGCTCGTTAAATTTAGTAAGGGATTCAATATTACACTAATCTTTAGCGAGGCTACAGCTCTAGCTTCAAAATTTGATAACTTTAGCTAGAGATTAGTCCCTCACTAAAAATGTCTATATTTAAAAAATAGTGATACCACACCACCCACTGGAGTTGAGAATTTGAGCGGGCCGAGCCTATTCGGGCTCGACCCGAATTACCCGCTATTGTTATAAGCCTGAATTAACAAGCTCGGCCTGAATTATTTCGGGCTTTGGGCTGGCCCGAATACCCGTTTGATATTTTTTTGTGTGATTTTGATAATTTTTTTCCTACCTAATTGCATCAAAATAATAATTCAACACTCATTGATACTATTTTTTTTAACCATCTAAACCAACAAAGCAAGAGTAAGATCATCATACTAGTTTAACATCCAAAATAAATAATCTAACAAAATAACAATACATTCAACATGACATTAGAGTTAAAACATAACAATAATCAACAATACAAATGAAAGTCAAGCTAAATCCAAATCTTGTGGCTCTTCTTGTTCCTCATCATCATCCAAAGCTACATTTGCACTCTTAATAGCAGACAAATCCATATTTAGATTTGGTTCAAGTGATTTCTCCTCTCCCTCCCCCTCTCCCTCTCTTTCTTCCTCTTCCACTACCTCTTCTCTGTCAATCCTTTCTTTCTCT